ATGATAGATACTGCCCAAAGTCTGCCAAAAGGTTGAATTAATTTTTACATTAACTGATGATATGCTGATACTACTTATACTAATGTAAATAACATTAGTATGATACTACTTATACAGTGTAAGGACAGTAATTACTAAATTACTAATAATACTGTTTTCCCACATCCTTAGCAAAAGAATGTTAGAGCTTTTTGTTGCATGCAATTTGATGTTAAAAGTGGTATCATATTCTTCTTATCACAAATAATGTTGGACATCTTTTCAAGTAAAATAGAAAAAATGAATTTTTTTCTCAGATACCTGCTTATATTATTTGACCACTTTTCAGTTGAGTTGTTGGTCATTTTCTTACTGATATGTTAAGTGAAAGAAATTGAAGAGAAGACTATTAGTCAAAGGAGTTAACCGACATAAGATTTAATTTATCTTCCCAATTTGTCATTGCCTTTGATTTATCTATGGTGCTCTTTGCCATGCAGAGATTTGGGGGTTTTACATAACTGAATTTATCTTTTTATATAGCTCCTGAGTTTTGTATAATAAGATCGTCTACAGGCCAAGACTGTAGAAAAACATTCTCTCATATTTCCATCCACTACTTTTTATTTCACTTTTATGATTAAGTCATTAATCTACAGAGAATTTATCTCAGTGTAAAAAATCAACTGGAGAGCCGACATTATTTTATTTGAGATGGCCTACCTACCAGATTTTATAACTGGTATTTATTCAATAATTAATCATCCCCCCCCATATGCAGTATCCCCGTTCAGCATATACTAAATACCCATATGTAGGGCGCCTGGGTGGCTCAGGCGTTAAGCATCTGCCTTCAGCTCAGGTCATGATCCCAGGGTCCTGGGATCGAGTCCCACGTTGGGCTCCCTGCTCTGCAGGGAGTCTGATTCTCCCTCTGCCCCTCCCCACATTCATTCTCTCAATCCCTCGCTCGCTTGCTCTCTCTCTCAAATAAATAAAACTCTTTAAGAAAATAAATAAATAAATATCCATATGTATTTGGTTCTGTTTCTCTGCCCTTGAAACTGTACCATAATCTATTCATACTCCAGTACATATTATTTTGAGTACTTTGGCACTATGATATTGTCTCATATCTGTTCCTACTAATCTTCCTTTATTGCTCTACCTTCACTTTTTACATCTATTTTTATATAAATTTAGAATCACTTTTATCTGTTTTTTTAAGTTTATAGAATAATTTATAACCTTATGTTGTTGAATTTTACTTAGTATATGTTTGCCCTTTATTCAACAATTCTTTTTGTCCCCTACTAACATTTTTAAATATTCTTATTTAATCATGCACACTTTTTATGTTTATTCCTAAGTATTTAATAATTGTGTTGCTATTATAAATGAAATATTCTTTTTCATATAGGAAGGATTTTGATTTTTGTATTTTTATTTTGTACATTATTATAATTTACATATTTTATAGTTTATTTATAATTTGTAATAATTTTGTAATGATTATAACATGCCTTAGTATTACCTTAATACTAATGGTAATACTAACTAGTATTATATGCAGGCATGTTCTAAGAGTTCTGTGTATGTTTGAATACTTAACAGTCTTAAAACCCTTTGATAGGATTTTATTGTCCCCATTTTATGGAGGAAACAAAGAATTAAGTAGGTTGCTCAGTGTTATACAGCTAGTTATTAATAGAGCCAGTGATTGAACCAAGAGCAGGGCTTTAGAGTCCATGCTCTTAACCACTACATTGAAGTATTTGTGTTTGTTTTTATATTAGTTTATCAGGATTACATTAAAAATATGCACAGTTAGTGATAATTTACTTCTTTCAAAATTTTAAACCTATATATATATGTATATATATAGGTTTAAATATAATTTAACCTATATTAACCTATATATATATAGGTTTAAATATAATTTTAAACCTACATATATATTCCTCTTCATTAAGCATTTAATGGGAACATCCTGAGTTTAATGGGATTTTTTTTTACCATTTTTCCATTTGATTATTTTCCCATATAGTTTTCTAGGTCGAAATACATTATTTTTTTGTGTTATGTAAATGAGGGTTAGTCTTATTTCATTCAGAGTTTTTAATCAGGAATGGAGGCTTAATTTTAACAAATGCCTTTTCAACAGCTGTGGTCTGAGTTTTTTCTCTTGATCTGCTAATAGAAGTGTATTATATTAATGAATTTCTCAATATTAGACCATCCTAAATCTTCCATACATACTATTCTTCTAACCCATGCTACATTGTATTTGTATTTTTTTTACCCTGATATTCATATGTGAAATTCTTCCATAGTTTACATTTTTATCATGTTCAGGTAACAGTTATATTGGCTTTTTTAAGGAATTTGCAAATTTTCCTCCATTTTTTTGTAGTCTGCAATGTCCAACATGATAGCCACTAGCCATGTGTAACCATTCAAATTTAAATTAGTTGTAATAAAATAAAATTTAAAATTCTGTTTCTCAGTTACACTACCTACATTTCGAATGTCCTATATATGTACTGCCATTTGGTGGCCATCATCATGGAAAGTTCTATTGGACAGCCCAGCTCAAGAGCATTTTAAATAGGACTGGAATTAGCTGATTCTTTTTTTTTTATCTTTTTAATTTTTTATTGTTATGTTAATCACCATATATTACATCATTTGTTTTGGTGTAGTGTTCCATGATTCATTGTTTGTGCATAACACCCAGTGCTCCACGCAGAATGTGCCCTCTTTAATACCCATCACCAGGCTAACCCATCCCCCTACCCTCCTCCCCTCTAGAAACCTCAGTTTGTTTTTCAGAGTCCATCATCTCTCCTGGTTCGTCTCCCCCTCTGACTTACTCCCCTTCATTCTTCCTCTCCTGCTATCTTCTTCTTTTTCTTTTTTCTTAAAATATGTTGCGTTATTTATTTCAGAAGTACAGATCTGTGATTCAACAGTCTTACACAATTCACAGCGCTCACCGTAGCACATACCCTCCCCAAAGTCTGTCACCCAGCCACCCCATCCCTCCACCCCTGACCACTCCAGCAACCCTCAGTTTGTTCCTGAGATTAAGAATTCCTTTACTGCTTCTTTTCTGATTCTCAATGATACATGCTCAGTCTAATAAATTTTGGCATTCAAAAATAAAAATACTAAAAGAGAAGACAAATCACCCATTACCCCTATGGAATAGTTAACAATTGAGTATCTTACCTTTTAGGTTTTGTAACCACCTAAATATATATTCTGTAAATTGTCATTGCATATGTGTCTATGTATGAGACACAAATACACATGTAAGTTTTGTGTTCTATTTTTTAATTAATTGCTGAGCATTTTCCCCTGTCATTAAAAATCTTTAAAACATGATTTTTAGTGGTGATGTAGTAGTCCAATTCCACCATTTACCAAACATAGGCAAATTACTTAATCTCTTCATGCTTTGGTTTTCTGAACTTAATGCGAATATACCTTCCTCTTA